TATATATATATATTATTTTCCAGCCTATAAGTTGCATCTGTCCAAAAATGTCTAATAATTTAGAAAAATCCATAAATAAGTTGCTTTGCCATATAAGTCGCATCTATTATGCGTCACTGCTGATGCGTTGCGTTTTTGTTGCACATCACCGCTGACAACCCGGAAATATGGGCCGGTGTTGTGCCAAAAATCGATTGGCTGCCAAATGGCGGCCGTGGGAGCATGCACGGGAGGACTTTAACAAGATTAACACTAAAAAAACAATTATTTGTTTGCTCAAAATTATAGTAAAGGTGTGTCTCAGTTTAACTTTTACTAAATAAATGCACTTTGATGGTAAAATCAGCTGCATTTCTCCGGGGCGGCGCAGCGAAATGAAGCTGATTTGACGGTTGCTCCAGGCATGATCCCAGAGCTGGACGAAGGTGGCAGGCTATGGCAAGCCGATTGCGTCATTAATAGCCACTTTTACCTATTACATGACACAATGGTATGCCATACTACTCTACTGCCATCTAGTGGCTGAAAATGGTAGTGTTTTTTTTAAATATTTACTTATTACTTACGTTAATATTTATTTATACTGAATATTTTTAGTCAGCATGAATGAAAACGCTCATATCTCAACCAACAATTGGTTTATAAATATTGGAAAAATACCATAAATAAGTCGCTTCAGTGTATAAGTCGCAGGGCATGCAAATTATGCAAAAAGTTGCAACTTATAGACTGGAAAATACGGTATATATGTTTATCACATTTGATGTTTGATTTGGAAGAGATGAACTTTGTTTTCATCTGGAGGAGAAACTGTGAAGAAAACGAGCAGGAGTGAAAAGTAAATCAGGAGAATTGTTCCAGAGTTTCGTGGCTTCTTCCTTACATTATTAAACATTAAGTCACGTCAGTCCAGCTCCACTCTGAGTTTTACCTCTGTCATCCAGGTGAAAGCTTTTACTGATTTAAGTGTTTTAAAACATAAAGGAGTCACTCAGAAAAGAAGAGAGGTGTCTGAGTTGATGTAGCTGAGAACGTTGGAGTATTTTATCAGAGGTAAAGGCGGTTTGGAGAGGTGAGTTGCCATCTTGTGGTGAGGAGACGTGATGCAGAGGTTTCCTTTGGATCAAGAAGCATCTCGGTCCATATTTAAACTGCTATCTAAACAAGAGAAGCTGACAGGTTGAATGATTTTAGTTTTCTGCTCCTCTTATGGAACGCATCAAAACTCCGGTCCGTTTCTGAAACGTTTACCCTGAAACCTCATCAGCAGGAAAAAAGCCCATTACCTCAGAAAGATAAGCTTCCTGTTTGAATTATGTAGCACCACTGTTTCATTCAGCTGCAGCAG